TAAATCATTATAGTTTTAAAAACTGTTATCTATCTATCTAATATTTGAGTGAATGAAAATTGAAATTGAAATTTAAAAAATATGAAGAATTGATTATCAAATAAAATATAAGCTAATTTGAGTTGATAATTTATGAATAAAGATTGATATATAGTTTTAAAACGAATTTACTTTTGATAAGATTAAACTTTGGAACTTATTTTCAGATCTCATCTTATCAATTGAAATTTAAAAATTTCTCCTCGTGAAATAATTAAATAAAAAAATAGTGACTGATTATAATTTTAATGATTAATCTAGTTTATGATTCAGAGTAAATCTTGAATTTAAAATTTAAAATAAAATTGTAAATGTTGTTAACTCTAAAAATCCATATGTTCTATAGATATTTCTTACTAAAATAAATGCTAATTGGTGTATACACAAAATTTTGCCACATGATGTAAATCAATTTTTTGTAATTCATCATATTTTTGAAGTTCTAACTATAAATTAATATTTCAAACTTTGAATCATAGATTTTCATTCAAAATCTTCCTTTTCAATCAAAATTTGGAATGTATGAAATTTTTATAAAGTTAATATTAAGTACATTTGAGTGTTGTACTTGTGATATGTAAGTTAACTTTTCAGGTTTCAGATTTAAGTTGAAAAATAACAATCTTTTGAGAAAAATAAGAATTGAATGATTTGTGATTATTTTGACATTGAAATTACACATTAATATATTTCATGGAAATAAGTTTAAAATTATTTCTCTTTTTAACCATGTAAATTTAATATTCAATTCGTTTAAGGAAGGAGTTCAAATGAATGTAGAAATTTAATTCTAAGAAAGAAAGAAAAGTAAAATATCATTAAAAATAAATTTTAATTTCTTTTTAAATTGAAATAATTGATCCATGATTACTAGTTCAAGAAATGAATGATTCTTATCTATCAAAAACTAGTATATTGTAATTTTTGATAGATTTTTTCAACTCAAACGTTTGATGTTCATAGAATATGAAAAATGTATGAAAATATGAAATTTCTGCATGTGAACATATCATACGCCAGTAAATATACTTGGATCATTCAAAGAAGTGTATAAAGTAAAAGTTTATATATAAATAACATTTCATAGGTTTTACTCTTTGAGATTGAAAAAAAAATTGCTAATTTTAAATCATGAGAACATCATTTACGTTTTTTTTACAAGTGAAGAAATTCTTGCACACAAATATTTACTTTTTCAGATATGATTTTATTCTTTTGTATTTGATAAGTGATGACAATGTTTACATACAAGATGTGCTTTACAATAATGTCATTTTTTTGCTTGTTTTCTTTTGTCACTAATTTTGTGAATGAATTATTTCTCACAGAATGTTTTTAAATTAAAAATATTTGTGATTCATAAGAATCATATTCGTTCATCATCTCATATCAAATTACGATGTGAAAATAATTATAGAACCAAACTAAATTTCCTTCAAATATTTCACACTTGTGCTGGAACTTTTTAGGTTGATCTTCCAATTTTTTTACTTTTATTTTTTGGGTAAAAATCTAGTTCAATAATAAATTTCATATATATATGATCTAATGAATGATTAAAAATATTAAAAAAACCAAGTTAAAGGCGATATTATTATGATAAATTAATTTGTTGTTTATTCAAGGGAAAAATACTTACAACTCGAATAGAGTTTTTATAGATCTGGAGACTAAGAAATATAATATTGTTCAAGAAAATAGGTGGATTAGAATTAAGGCAGAAATTGAATTGATGATATAATTATGAATGATTTCAACAAAATTATTGATGTAGAACATCTTATGAAACAAAAAAGTCATTACATTTATTAAGCATTTTTTTAGATTTTGGAGTGAAGTAACTAGACATGTTCATATTCTTTAAAGATTATCCATATTAATTTAAATAATAAAAAAATAATACATATATAAATTTAGAGATTACAAGAAGAGCAAATTTTTTAATGTATTTTTTAGTTCTTTAAAGCTTAAGTTTTTCCAATTACAATAACTGTTATATTAAGTTGTATGTCATTATATTTGAATGATTTCACATTTACTTACTTACAAGTCATAGTATATACAATGAGTAATTTTTTTTCAAAAGATCAATTCTTCTTATAAAGACATTTATATGCTTGTAGCAACCTAAGTAAACACTTTAAAGTTTAGCTTAAGAAATTATTTCTAAACATAATATATGAACATTGAGAAATTAGCTTTTCTTATAAAGATAGCTGTATGTGGATGTGCATTTAGCATTATATTTTGAATTAAAAAATTTAATGTATCTATTAAACACATCTGGAGATTTGCTCGACAACATCTCATGGAGTTACACATATCACCGATTGCAGTTTATAAACACGTGTTCTTTTATTTCATAATAGCATGATAAGGATGTAATTATGTAGCATATTCTCTAAATATGTCACATAAACTAAGGTGAAAATAATGTGAATTACTTGTGCTGTAGAGAACCTAGAGAAGATGCAAAATAGAAGTGACAAACGTTGGTCTGGCAACAAAAACTGTTTGTTAAATAAATTTAGCATTAAAGTCATTATCATTTTTTTATTTTTTTGTATAATCTCCTTATTGTCATACATTATATGAACAAAATTCAGAGGAAAATACAGAAGTACCTTCTAAGATATATTTCAAAACTTGAAAACTTTTGTAGTTTTTAATAATATTTATAAATTTTTTTTACAAAATTATAATTCATCTAATTTCATAACAAATATTTGATCTATTTGATGGTTATGTATATATACGAAATGAAAGATTAATGATATTCAATAAATTAGAATAACATGTACAAGTTGTTATTTTAACAAAATATTGATATTTATACCATACATAATCAAATTCCGATCTTTTAAAAAAAACCCATATAAGCTGCAAAATGAAACAGGTACTGTATAAATATTTTGAAAGTTAAAAAAATTGTTCATTTCTTTGTTAGATCTCAATAATAAGTAAATTAAAAATACATAAAAGATGTATTATGAAGTTGTTCAACATATCAATAAATATGGCGAGCAATAAAAAATAAAAATATTGATAAGATTACATATGTATTTAATAATACTAGAAAACTTGTAAATAATTTTAGAATGAATAAATAAATAATTTATCTTAAAAAATTAATTTTTATTATTTTGTAAATTAATTAAGTTAAATTATCCCTTGTGGATTCATTTTTCGATGGATCTTTTTATTTTATTATATTCATGTGGATGCAATATCCCATTAAGTAAATGTTTTTAAAATATAGAATATAGTATACTAGCATCTGTTGAAAAATATTCTTTCTCATGTTAAAATATAATATAGAAGATTTTACTTTTTTATATAGCTGAAAGAAACGACTCAATTTGTTACTTTGCAAATTTTTTATAGCAGTTTTTTTTATGAAATCTAATATTATTTTGTTTCGTTTATAAAATCTCAACCAAAATGTATGCAAAAGAGTAGGTACTTATACATAATTCAGTTCTCTCATTTCATCTTGTTTGACTGGAGTGAATTATATAAATAGATCTTCAACCTGATCTGAAGATGTGACAAAATATTGTGGAGCAGGTCAAAGAAAATCTGTAAGAAGGTTTTTTTTTATCAGTGTTTATTTGAGGAATAAAGAAATTATATCCCAATACATTAACACAAGTGTTCGTGGACTATATGTGTATTACTATATTGCAATTCTTGATTTTCCGGCTAAATAGGTATCAATAATATATTTATTTTCACATTTTGGTTGGTCAACCCGCGTTAGCAAAGATGATTGAGGTAGAAGTACCATAACTAAAGGTTAAGTGAAACAAAGAATGAAATATATAGTCCAATGTAAAGGTTATCATCCTTATAGAGCTTCTTGATAACCGTTGGCAAATCTTTCAAGTTCCAAGGAATCTAGAGAGACCATCAAGTCCTTATTTGAGGAGCACTGTTATCAAACTTGATAAGCTTTAATAAATTGGTTAAAAAAATATATTGATCGTTGAATGAAATAGTAGTGATGTGGATGATCTAAAAATGTGAAGTAAGGTTACGTTCTTCTAGAGATATGAAGAGTTGAATACCATGCATTGATTTATTAGATAGGTTGTTCAATGTCTTTTAAACATAGGTTAGGCTAAATTACATGAAACATGAGCATGTTAGCAATTTGATATATAAAGAGCTTAGAATATTTTTACCCCTTTAGTATATACATCAAGGAGAGTCATTGAGAAATCGTGTTTTCTTGAAAATCCATGAAGAAATCGATGAGTTCGATGTGACATATAATCATTTGTAACAATTCCATGAAAAGAGAAAAAAATTGAACGACAAAAGGTCACCACAACATCCATGCTTGCATTTATACGGGCTGCAAGGAGCTAGAGTAGACTGTAATCATAGTAAGTTGGAGTAAACATGATCATTAACTTGAGACTTTAAAAGTAATAGATATATCACTTCAAATCTGAGAGGTCAGACTGCTAAGCGGTACTTGCAGAATTTTTTGGGGTGAAACTTTAAATGACATGATTGGAGAAAGGTATGATCTTTTCCGTGAAAACTATCACAAGGGGAAAAATCTTGCAAAAGTTAAAGATATTTCCAAATTTGGCAACTTGACAGAAGAATATCATGCAGTTCATTCCGGCATCTTTTCAATCGATCACGTTTATTGCAACTGCCTGTGCTCGAGGCAAAAGTACAGGGCATCGACATCTCTCTACGAGGGACCAGATTGACAAAGTTAGTAGTCTTGGGTACTGCATTTTTTGACTGCACATAGAGAGCTAGTCCATGTACCTAGTTAATGAGTGTGTAAAAAGGAAAGAAGAAATCGGTATAGATCACTACAGTACTTCGGAGGTAAAAAAAATTACACCACCCACGAACAGTTGAGGCCCGAGGCCTGAACTGTCAGATATGTACCTCACCTACCACCAGTAATTTCAAGTGTATTCTGTAGGATAAGTTCACGCCCTGAGGAATGTTATATTCATTGCCCATGAAATGTTCGTAGTAATAGGTCCCTGCACAACTGGGACAGCACATTTCAGACGGCTATCGGCTGAATAACATGCTCTTCCTCCTACGGTCCGGCCAAGTACAATTCGAGATAGATGTTGTTCCTCAACCTTACGTAAGCAGACATAGCTGGCAATGGTCCTCCATGGCTATTTGGTGCTACCATATTGTTCAGTATTAATTTTGACCTTTCATCGTTGATCTTGTACCAGGGTGTAGTTCTGGTGAGATAGAGGCGAAATCCCAAAACCCATGGGATATCGGAGCTGGGATAGAAAGAGATCCCTAATGCCCTGCCAACGGAGCAAAGATCTAGATTTGAAGCCTATGTAACTGCACGACTCCGTGATCTGGAAATGGCAACAGGTGAGAATCCAAATCTCCCGACGCAACTCACGTAGGCTATAGTTTGCAGTCAGTTTCCAACTCCACATTCTTGTGAAGCAGAGAATGATATTTGATAATAAGGAAGTTCTCGGGGTTTCTCGTTGGAAAATCTCAGTCTGCTGTCAATATTGCAGTCGCGTGATTGTTCATGTGAACAATCACGCGACAGCCAGCTAGGGAGTACCACGTTTCTTCATTCCCGCCATCGTGAATGCTCCGTACAACATTCTGTCGCGAGATCGACTGGCCACTTACTATTCGTGAATTCATCGTCATCTACAGTTCACCAGTGAGCTCGTGTGGCCGGGCGCTTCGGACCGTGCATTGACATGACCAGGAAAACCACATCTCAGAATAAAGTATCTTCTTTCTACATCTGGATCGAGGTATGGAAGAGAGGAACGTTCGCGAAATTAGAAGACTCGCAGAAACATATATAAATCGAGTGCATGTGGATCACTCTAGATCTACGGGATTCCTTCATACCTATCGGGAATTCGTATCTGAACAGTTTTTTGAAATCATGTCGATATGTTCCGTAATGGGTGTTACCTAGCATCCTTCCAATCCGTGAACGTCGTATCCGAAACAATAGTGTTTTGTGTTGGTGTCAACGAATGCCCCAGAAGCGATCTGAACGCAGAGAAGCAGGACTTGCCGATAATCGAGGGGGACTGGCTAGCCGGCAATTTAGCTTTCAGCTCCGAATCGCGTGGAGACTCGATGGAGGTCTTCTGTTTCGATCATGCCGGAAACTATTGCAATAATGGTGGAACACGGCGGACATCAACCAACAAATGGTGAACTAGCTTTAGGAGGGGGCACATTATTGGAAAGAGTCCCGATGTGTATAATTATTGCCACGTTTAAAATTAGCTTGTTCAAGGCAGATGCTCAAAGGTTTCGATAATAAGTTAAAATAAATTGAAACTTTTGTCGACTAGCTGTAACAGATCCAAAAATGTCGAACACCTGAACTAGACGCAAAAGGAAACCGGGAGATCGAAAAATCTTTCAAAAGGTATAAGTACAAGGCAGATATGCGCGCTGTTTAAAGCAGTGGCTGGACATGTGTGCACATCAATGTCAATTGACTTGAGATCCACAAACCGCAGTGGGTCATGGGCATGACTAGACCCTAGATCTCAACAAAGTGCAAGCTCATCAGTGCTTAGTGAAGGTATACGTGTCCTGCTTGTCTTGGGCACACTTGAACTTGAATGCAATATATTCTTCTACACACCTGCCATACTAGATCGAGCAAGGTCGCGCTTCTACATGTGGACCAGACTCGCCGTTGGTGTAATGTATTCGGTGACATGTTCAGAGAACTAGTAAGACGCAAGTTGTTGGGCCCGAAGATTGTACGGCGGGCTGCCGAATATCTCTCGGAACCTTCAATTCAATTGAGCTCATAAACTATATTCATGCCCTCATCGATACAATATAAAATGGTGAGACATGAATATCCTCTGACAGTATGTGATCTATCGACTGCTTGTTTCACTAAATGTACAAGTTAAGTAGTTGCACGTGTAGCCTACAAGAAGAAAAAGCAAACTGCACGCAGCGGATCGCAGAAGAGCAGTAACTAAAAGTAGTTGCTAACTGGTCCTCGAATGTGAAGAGGCTGCGAACTGAGTGCAAATGCCAAGTTTCTCCGATCATCGCGGCTTGGTAGTCGAGGTTAAGCATTCCACATCGTAGTAAACCTGCTCACTTGCGCTGTCTTTGGAATGCAAGTCCTACCGATGCGATGGATCCCTGAACAGCCAAATGAGTGATGTCGGTCGGAGAAACCAATGATCGATTCCATGCGAGCCAGCGACACGTTAATGAATCAGCGTGAGAGAGAAAAATGCCTCACGGACGGATGTCCCATCTCGGCTCGAAGACAGTCCTGAGGAGCTTCCCCCACAAGTCCCAGCCGGGAGCTTCAACTGTTCTCTCCTTGGTGCGCATGACGTTCCAAGTATGGGACTGAATGTGGTACTCGATCAGAAGTCGAGTAATCTCTTGCCGATCACTCAAGGACATCCAGAAGTCCACTTCGATGCAGATGATGTCGCTAATGATCACTGCTCCGTTGATCGAGTACCGAAGCTCTTCGACGTCGTCCAAGGCCACGCCTCTCCTGTCGATATAATCAATGATATCTTCCAGCATGATTGAAATCTCGTCCCAGTGATAGTCTGCGTCTGACTTCCCGGTCTCGACAGCCAGCCTCCAGATTCCAAAAGTGGTCAGTTGACTTTGATCCTCATCAACTTGCGTTAGAGCAATGAGTATCGCATATCCGTGGTGCTCCACCACAAAGGCCGAATGCCCACTTTGAGCGAACGCAATGGCAGGCATTTGAATTTCAAACCTCCGCTTCAATACCGAAGTGGAATCAATACACTCATACAAAACCAGTTGCTTGTCATTCTGCTCAATGGTAAAAACGAGCAGCTCATGACCAGAGTGCAGGAAAAAGGCATGGGAAGGACGTTCGGTCTCGGGATCTACAACATCTTGTCGATGGTAAGTCTTCCACGAGCCGTCCGTCGAAGTATAAACCTGTACAGTCCACGGTCCAACAGCTCCATCTTCTGCCAGGACAACGGTGGACACGAAGAGATTGTAGCAGTGCGCATTCGGGTTGACCAGCATGTCAGCTTGCCAGGAGATGAAAGGCGTAGCCGTGGAAAACTTGAGGATGGACTTGCATTCTTTCAGAAGAGGATTACACACCAGCAATTGCCAGGTATCCGAATTGGAGTTGGGGTCGTCGAGCGGGAACATGGCTAGAAAGGCCAGCAGACCCTTCTGCGCGGCCACAGCTCCATCTGTCAGAGCGGCAGTGGGCAGAATTCCCGGCACGAACGACAACTCGATATGGGATGTGCTCGAGCAGGGGGCGACCGAGGGTGGGATTTCGGTGGGGTTCTGGGACGAGAGCAGGCGAAATGTGGCAATGCGGACGTCCTTATGGCCGGATGTGGACAGGCTCAAGTGCTTCAGAAGTGACACGGAGGAAGACAGGAATCCACGGCTCTTCGTTAAGTCGTGCGTCTTAGACTTGGCATCGATCCGAAACCTGATGTTCTTGGCGTGCAGCAGTTTCTTAAGAGGCGACTCTTTGAACTTCTCGGCAGCTCTGGATTTCAGGTCTTTGGCAAAATGTATGAGGGGATGAGACACATTCCCCCCGGGATGGTGGTGGTGGTGGTGCCCGGGGTCATGCCTGTGGTGCTTTCCGTGCCCACTGCCACTGTGCTCTCTTACCATCACGGGCTTCTCTTTCTTTCGGAAAATTTCCTCCTCCTTGGTCATTGTGAGATCGCCTTTCCTCAAGGTGAGCATCAGATTATCGTACACCTGCAACGGAGGCTCGGGCTCGGGAGCCAACTGATCGTGGGCGTCCTGGCCCGATGGGATGAACAGCTCGTAATAATCCTCAGTCGCGGACACTCGGACCCCGCCGATGTTCACACTCCATTCGTCGTATTTCGACATGTCGTCCAGGATAGTTTCAAAAGTTTTCACAAACTCCGCCTTCGGATCATGGTCATCATCCAGATCCCCGGCCAAACTCGAGGCGGTGGAGGTCGCAGTTGATACGTCAGTTGACATTCCAGCCACGCCCCGACCTCCTCGCTCCATTGTGGGCACTCTGCTCGCACGAATCCCCGATATCCACCCCGGACCGGCCCTTGTCCTTCAGCTCACAATCGTCACGGACTTCGGTCTTCTCTTGAGGAAATTCGGCGAGTTCTGTACAGCTTCATGCTCCTAATCATCACCAGCAGACGCAAGTTCTTCTCGAGAGTGAAGCACCCAGCAGTCAGTCGAATGGTCCGATCAGGCAGGAATTCATAGCTCACCTGTTCCTTTCCATTTCAGAGACACGGAGACAATTCAAATCTCGCACCGACAAATCAGCCTTGCGACTCCGGCGAACCTCGACAATCAAAGACCAAAGATCGTAGCAATGCGGCTTACAATTGAGCACCTGCAGGTGCAATTCGACTGGATGGAAAAGCATATCATCAAATCTACCGCAACTTGCATGAACTCTCGGCCATCAATGGGGATCAGCAGCGAGCGATCCATAAATTACACCGCGCCGCTGCTGAGGTCCGCGAGACTTCTACTTAGGGACATGTCAGCACTCTGTCTGGGCTCTTCTGGATCGTTTCCCTTCTAGCTCCCACTCACCAATGGGGTCCTCTGCTCTCGGGTCTATCTCACAATCTACGCTGGACGAGGAGGGAATGAAAAACATATAATCTCCTGAATCATTTTGTCGCGTGGAGGGGGGAAGGGATGGAGGGATGGAGGGAGGGGCCAAGGACGGAACGAAGACGTAATTTTGAATTTTGTTGCCAGCGCGTGGCTGACTGCCTAGATCGGAATTATAAAATCTGCTTTCGTCTAAGACTTCCTTCCGGAGGGAGGTCCGTGAGTGTGGACATTCGCCCGCAAGCCACTGTTGAATGCTGACTAGGTGACCGGGTCCTTGATGCGGGAATGATCGATCATACGGCGCGAGACAGCTATTCTGGACCCCCACCATTCCGATCGTGCGCCCCAGCAACACTCGCTCCCCTCCCATGGAACCTCGTACGCCAGTCCTCCCATGTACTTCTTCGGGACAAGAGGGACAATGCGGTCGATTCATCTCATCGCTGATCTCCCGACGACGCGTCACGAGGCCCAACCGTCAGATCCCCATCCAACGGAGCGGCGTCCTCGTTTATGGCTCACCCTTTCCAAGTCTTGCGCGCTCGTGCGTCGATTGTCAATAGGATCTTAGAGATGAGAGTATTTGTAACTCCGCCCTCGCTACAAGAGCGTGAGTTCCGAATATTCTTCAGAGAACCAGAAGATGCCTCCTTAACCTCACACTGAGTCAGCCGCAGCTCTTATGCAACGGGCTCGAGCTGTTCTTGTCCCGATCTCGATCCTTGTAAAATATCTGACCTTCTTGGGTTTCATGGACATGGACTGGCATCCCAGCGGACGGGATCGTCAAAGTCTTCCCAAATGTAGCAAACCCACCCACACCCGACCTCCATTTCATGGACTGGCAAATTGCTGTCGCTCCAGAATCCAGGTAACGACGGTCAAGTCATGGCGCGGTTTCCAGCGGACGGTTTCATAATTACATTATATCTCGTCTTTCAATGTGCCTGAATCTACGTCGGAGATGAGAATTTTCCGTAAAGTACTTATTCGACCTTATTACTTTCTTAAGTATGTTCTTATAGATTCCAAGTTTTAGTATGTTCACCAACGAATTTTAAAAACAAACATACGATATTTGAATATTCCTTCGTGTACTTGTTTATCAAACTTTTCAACCTTCCATTGACAATTTTTCACCATGTTGATTTGTGTGTACTGTATATACAGAGGTGCAGTTTTATCGATTCTTTCTATTACATACAAGATCCCACTCCCCATTGCATCAACTTGGTAATGATGCATGACACAGTTACTAAAACCAACCAAATGTATGCCACCTCTTCGTAACCAGAGCTCTAACCGATCACATTCCTGATATTGGAGTACAATGTTCATCCATTTGTCACCTAGGTTACAAGCTTTTTTTAACAAGTTACATATGTTTGACAAACCGGAGTTCAACAATTCATATTTCGGACAGTTTGAAGCCAGTACAAATGCCAAAACAATCGCAGGCTGTTTAAGAAGAAATTATCATCTATACGATATATGTAATTAACAGTATTAGCGAAAGAAGAAGCATAATCGAGGAAGAAATTGTGTGTTTTGAATCTTTTGCAATAACGTGTTACTTTTTCCACAATCACAAATTAGAAAAATAATTTACTGATAATTAGGTAAAAATTTTCATTCACTGTCATGCTTAACTTGACAAAACATAAGTATAGAGAATTACAACCTTCAAGTATTTCAAGGCGTTGAGTTGAATAAATTATAATTCGAAAAGAATCATGAAGTTAAATTATATGGCATCTGAATACCAAGGAAAAAATTGGGGGAAATTGATCTTATGCATTTCGATTCTCCAAGAAGATTGGTAACAATTTTCATATGAAAATTTGTCTTTCATCTTTATATAAAATTTTTCAAATTTTAGAATTGATCAAAAAAATACTAGAACTTTTTTAGGTCATAAAAAATTTTCACGCAATATATAAGAAAAATTTCATTTTTTTATGGATATACTCACACAGTTTAATTTACAGAAACAATGAAGATCATACTTTTGATATTTTAATTAAATTTCAGCGACTTGAGAATATCACCAAGTGGAACAAACCAGAAATAAATATGTGAAACAGATGTATGGTGAATATTAAATTTTTATTGCAAAGAATAATCATGTTCTGCCAAGAGATAGTCCAAGAAAAGTCGATCGTGAATGCGTCAGAATGTTGACCCTTATTGAATTTTTGTTGATTATTCTTTGGCAAGACTATTATATCTATATGACAATAGTAAGCATGAACAATGTTTGTCATATATGTGGCGGATGATGCATGGAATCCTTGGCCATCTTGTGGTGCTACTATCTACGAACTAGTCAGATTGCTTTGATCCCTTTATTGTTAGCCATCATCAATCGGCAAAAAAAAGTTTTAAATAAATGTGTTCCCAATAACTGGCCAGTGTTTTTGGACTAATAACTGAACCGGATTAGTACATGGATAGTCTAAAGAACTCTCGTGATAAGATGGACATGCTCACGGTTGTCGGCTTGTTTAATTCAGTCGACAATAGGAAGAAGCGGCGCCTTCTTCTCTACAATGGAAATTATTTCAATCAAATCAGAAAGCTCAAAATATAGGTTGTTGATATTTCCAACACCTTCACTTTTAAGTAAGAACATAGATATAGGACATCTTCGAAGTTTTTCTGGAATTCTATTAGGTGTATTTTATGTAAACTTAGTTATGGCTTCGAAACGATCCCAATCACCGAAACCCAGGTCACATACTGAACTAGTGTGCTCCATCTCCGTAAGTGAGTCTAGAGTATCTGCGACCGTGCTGTACTATGTGTATTCAAATTATTTCTATCGAATGAAGCTACAATTAGCGTTGTCGCATTTATTTGCAGAAGCAAACAAATGACATTGTATAAGTTCTTAAACTTGTAAATTTGATTTTAAAACTTCACTTGGAGTATGCTTCCGCATATAATACAAAGATGTTACTAGAGCTCAAGGTCTATATCAGAAATAGGATATATCACTCAAACTGAGCTTCAATGTTCTGAACATAAATTAAATTTTTTCCGAGGGATCTAGTGCCATGTGTGCGTCAAGTGTTTTCAATGAAAACTGCGACATCAAAAAAATGCAACCGTGAAGATTTGAATTCTTCTTTCAAATTTCCCAATTAAACTTAATACAACTAAAAGTACAGACATGTTTACATATTAGGAGTCTTGTCAATCCGAGAACAATTCTTAATGCAAAGAGATCATTTTAACTAGAGAGCAAATTTTCGGAAAAAATTTCCTGCTTTTTTTCTTAAAATAACAATTGGGATTCTTGATTCAAGAGAGCATCATGTGTGAGAGAAACTTATGAAATTTTATCAAGACTCTAAAAGCGTGATATATTCATACATATGGTACTCATCACTTGAAAATTACACAAAATCAATTAATTAATCATCAATTAAATGTTATGAAAATCTCATCTATGCCTCTCACACATCCAAATTCAAGATTGCATGAAATGCTTATATGTATCTTGTATAGATTTTCTAAAATTTAGCATAAATGCCAAATTTAACTTTGATGAGATGCTCAATTTAAAGGAATTTTTTGAAATATACCTACCAGTGCATACATACAGTATTTTAGCAATGCATAATTGCTATTAAATATATAATATTATCATTTTTTATTTTGAATTAAAATACAAAGCAAAGTATGTCATTTCAACACAAACATATTCTTTATAATAAGTTGAGTCTTATTAGAAATGACTTGAAAATTATTTGACTATGTACTTGATGGAATTCCATCGGAACCTAAATTGCTTGATGGGATCATCGAGTTTTGTTTTACTCGATAAGATCCCATAGACGACACACCGTTACAAAATTCTAAAATGTGTTTATGTACACATATGATGCAAGCTTTAGTGGAACTCTGCGATCGCAAATCACTTCTAGCTTCATTTTATCATCATCATCTTTTTCATGGAAATTTCAATTGAATTGGATATGTAGTAGAATCATGATGTTTAAAGAGCATACCATCAACCTTTAACATCTAACAAATGATCTTGACCAATGGCAACTGAACAATTCAATACATAAAGATTTCTCTCATCAATCACCTTGCTTGCTAGAGAAATAGCTGGTTTTAAATATATTTTGGATAGTCCAATGCCATTAAATGCATTTTTCACTTATCTTCTAGTTTATATGACCAAAATTTTTTCTCTCAAATTCTTGCATGAAATCAGTTACTTATGTAGCCCTTGTAGTTTGGTAATTTTGTCATCCAATCTCCATTTTTCTGTCTTCTCAGCATCAGGAGAAGGCTAAGTGAAAGGCAACGTTGACAAGGCCAAAGGAACGTAAGAGCTACGTCTTTAGCCTAGGATTTGAACATTCTAGCCGTGACCATGACTATTCCATCTATTTTTGTCATTTTGGCCCTTGCAAGAAATTGAGCAACGTTGTGAAAAAACCCTGTCCAATTTCTGATGTCTTCTACCCCGCTGCAACAAAATTGTCAATTTATATATGTCAAGAAAATGCTTGAAACTATTTGAGACGAGCCATGCTCCGCAACTTCCGAACTTGTTATTTATAAGATCACCATTTCAACTTGACCTTGAAGAAGACACAGCAGCATGATAAGGCTCCAAGTTGGCAAGCATCAATATCGACATACTGGCAGTGTGAAGCAAACTCTGCAGAGCATTGTGTGTAAACATTCATTCGACCTCTCTCCTCCGTAACCAAATTGTTCTTTCGTCCAAATGCACTACCTGATAGAGTTTCACTGCATGCAACGTATGTTGAAACTAGAACATGTGTGACGTGTATCGTCGGTGGAGTCCCATTGGATAAAACAAAACTTGAAGGGTTGCAGTAAGCAAATTAGGTTTGATGGAGTCCTATCAAGTTAATACCTTTGTATAAATGGATTGTTTGTTTTGTTTAGATTTAGTATACAGACGACAAATGCTAACATTGCAAAGCGTCAACAAACAGTAGAAGTTAAGATATATCAAGCTCCATCTTGTGTTAATAATTATTGGATTCATAATCAATCTCAACACACCCAGATGTGAGAAGAGTACTTGTCTTGTTTGAATGAGGCAAATAAGAGTTTTTTATTGTCATAAAAAAGGAAAATTAACTTAGTTTTTTTTTTAATACGGTGGGTCCTTGGAACCAATTTTCAAGACAAAAGCTTTTATATTTTTCAAGCTCAAACAATATGAAACATACCAAATGACAATCAAAAATCTAGTGCACTTCAAGCTGGCAATTGAAAATGTATTGGTTGATCTATTTGCCTTGCATCTAGGAAAAATGACTATTTCATTATCAACGTGGACATAATTTATATTTTGTGATGGCAGCACTCATTGTGAAACAAACTTCTTCAATATTTAAATTTGTATGTGCCATCATGGAAAATTTCCAATTTACAATTAGTAGTGGTTAGCTTTTTGAACTACATACATCTATCAAAATAACCAAATTAATTATG